AGCAGTGACAGAGCCAGAATTTTAAATAAGGGGTTCAAAATTTGAGAAATAGACACACAAAATAGTCGAAGGGATTCGATATTTATTATATATATCTACCTAAAAAATTATTTTATCCATATACAAATAATATAATTTTCCGTCGGATGACCCCTGACTATATAAGGTGGCTCTGCCACTGGTACGATGAGCTACTAATAAAAAGATAGTGTAAAAGATAAAATAGAATAACTAAATAATAAATAAAGACAAAATTAGATGAAAATATTAAGTTAATGACATAATGGTATCAAATTTGTCATTAAAGAAAATAAATCTTTTCGTTCGTTATAAGTTATAACCGAACAAAGAATTTAAAAATGGGATCTGTTACAAACACTTTTTCCTTTGTAGGAGTATATCCTTTCTATATTTAGAAATTTATCACTATCTTTTTAATTTATTCTTAATGACATGCACCTTATTAGTAAAAATAAAATAAAATTGTCGTGACGTGCATAACTCTATCTAAAAATAATACGTGTCAAATAATTGTTACCTGTAAATGGCTTGAGACAATAAAGCCACCTTTCTTGCCACCAGACATGTCAAACCGAAGCTTTTCGTCAGGAGGCAATTCGAAAAATTCCTTAGCCAATTTTGTCATTTCTGATATTAATTCAGCATCGATCCCATGATCAATTACCTGAAAAACACCCCAATCTTCAAAAGCATTTACAATTTTCTCACATATTTCACTTCTTCGACTTCCATTAATATCATCAATACCTTGCAACGATATTACTGGAATTTCGTCACTAAATTTATTGTAAGCCACTTTTGGACGTTCTTCTTCATCCCTAATAAAACTTGTTTGAAGGGTCTTTTCATTAGCTAGAGCTGTTAGTGTTGAAGGTGCCATTTTTTTTTATTTTTTTTGTTCAAAAGAGTTATGAGGTGCCTTTTTAATGTTGAGAGTAAGGTGAAATAAGGGGTGGAGATTTATAAGGGAGTGTTGGCGTGGAGCTATTACTACCCTTCGTGCCAACTAACAACAATTCACGTGTTTTCTTTCTAGAATTGTATTTTGCTTACGAGTTGAAGGGTAGATACCACCATACTTCGGAGGAAAAAAATGAAAAGACGTTGAACGTCGATTTAATTTATATGATATTGTTTGATATGATTTTCTTTTTTAAAAAAATTAAAGTTTTATTATTTAGAGTTAAGTTTAAATATTTATTTAGCTATTAATTACTTCATTTGTTTCATAAAGAATGATCTAGTTTGACTTGACACGAAGTTTAAAAAAATTAAAGAAGACTTTTGAATCTTTTGTGGTCCTAAATTAAAGTTATGTCAATCGTACAAAATTGACTTTTAATCTTGTGGCCTTAAACATGTCATATGGAAAGCTGAAATTAAAATGTTACCAAAAAAGAAGAAGAGATCATTCTTTTTTAAATAGACTAAAAAGGAAAGGAGGTCATTCTTTTTTAAATTGAAGGAGTATCTTATTAAAAGTATTTGTTTTAATTCTTTTAAAATATATTAAAATGTAAAGTGTAACACTAAAAATGAATATTGTTTAACTTCGTAAAAAGGTATTAATACTATTGTATGTACTCTGTATTGTATTACTCTTCCGTACCATTTTATATGATATATGAGTTAGTTTAATTTGACGTTTAAGAAAGAAAGAAAAACTTTTAAAACTTTGTGGTGTAAAATAGGTGATAGATATTTGTGTGATTTTAAATAATTTTCATTATGAATAAAATAACATTTTAAGATAAAATTTTACTTAATTTAAAAATGTGTCATTTTGTTGGAACGGACCAAAAAAGAAAATTAAGTAGGAGTACTAGTTACGATTTTAGGGGAAAAGTGTGGTTGCTTTGTTGAAAAGTAGTTACTACTAAAGTATTTTGCTTTTTAAGAAAAACAAACGCAACCAAAGAGCTGTTTTTCCAATATAATAATTAGAGCTGTCAATATGGGCTAGGCCTGTTGGACTAGTTTGGCCTAATCCGTAATTTGATAGGGTTGAACCACGATTTTTGGAGCCCATTTAAGAAAAGAGTTTTTTTAGCTCGGCCTGAATAAGCCTGTCGATTTGTGGGGCTTGACAAATATGGATAGGGCCGTCCCGTGGGTCAAATAAAAACTAATTAAAAAATAAAAATAAAATAGAGTATTAAAAATAACAAGAGTCTAAACTCAATATATGCTTAAAGTTTGAAATATTACAATTTAAATACAAATTTTGTTTATAAAATATATACTACATAAAATAAAAATTTCCTAAAATTTCTAGGAATCACTACATAGGTCATCGCTTATGGAATATTATCATAGTTTTTGTATTTTATTATGATCATTGAAAAACAATTAGGTTAATATTTCTATTTAGTTATTTATGCTTTTACTTGAAATCAAACTTAACAAATATTATAAAGATAATTTTATTTGTGTATTTCATTAACAAATAGTAACACTAACACCATGTAATATTGTCTTGTCGATATTTATGATAATATTTTAAAATTATAATTTAATTAAAAAAATTATAAAAATATATTTTTAAGAAAAGAGGGTTGGCCCGGAAAAGTCCATAGCCCACGTACTTGTGGGCTGGGTCAACCATTTTCAGGCCCACACAAAAAATGGGCTAGTCCGGCATGACCCGTCGAATTTCAAAGCCTTTATGAGTTGGCCCAAATGGGATGGGTCAGGCCATATTGACAGCTCTAATAATATTGTTACCAACAATCGCTAATAATATTTTCTTTAAAAGTTTAAATCGCACAATAATTGCTAATATGAAAAATTCACCTTTTAAACTATTAATCGCATGTGGGTTTATTAACAAACGGAGGGTGCATGCAATTGAATGTTGGTTAGGACAAATCACGTGGCTGGTACCAACCAGCGTTGCCTAGCTAAAAAAAAACATGTCAATACTTAATCATCTTGTGTTAAATTTCTGTTATTTAATACTCCTCTCTTAAATTAATTAAATGTCGTTGCTACTTGCTAGTTGCTTCTTATAGATTTATCCTAAAATTGAGTCACAGGGAAAAAGGGTCCAACGTATCCTTTAAATATATGAAATGATATTATCCTTTCATTAATAGTTGGGATCAAATATGTTCATATTTTATTCTAATTTTATCCTTATTTTTAAATGATACAGTTTAATATCGATAATGTTACATATCCCTCAATTAAAGATTATTATTTTTTAAACGAAAGACAAATTTGTACCGGCCTTTTGCATAGTTCATAAGCAAATATGACCTTTTTCTCCAACATAATTTTTAGTTTCAAATTTTCTTTATTACTCCTTTATCTTTCTTCATGTAGACATTGAAATTTTGTGGAAATCTACGGGACGCGCTCAATTCTAATAAAGGCAAGGCCTCCAAAAACAATTTAACAAAATTAGTAAAACGAAGATTGTGCTAAAATTAGTCAGGCAGTAAAACTTGTGAAAACATATTTTATCATATGGACATTTTTAATGTGTTATAAGTAGGCTACTTTTGCACAAATTGCTTAAATGATGCTATTTCTGCAAGTCCAGTTTTTTTATTCCAGATAGGGATCTTCTAAGGATTTGGCTCATGGGCCTTCCCAACTTTGATTTATCGTTACTAATAGTAGTAAGTAAAGGAAAGTTACGTAAATGTATTCTTTTGGCCATCTAGTTTATCAATATGGTAGAAGTATACATTATTGGTACACGTTTGTTGTATACTTTGTGTATATATGTATATTGTATACATTTAATATAAACTATATACATTATCTATGCATTGTGTATATATTTTGTAAACTAGATTTCCGAATGATATTTTATTGTAATTTTTCCCTAAGTTAAATAGATTAGCCTGTTGTCATATAAATCAAGAATTTAATTTATAATATCACAGGCATCGTAAATATTTGTTGCATTGATTATATCACAAGAAGAGATAAGAAATTATGTATTTTTGTTGAAGATCATTTAATTTGTTGATTTTTTGGTTTTCGAAAATAGAATAGCAAAACGACTTAACATATATAATTAACCAAAAAAGTTTGATCATACAAAACTTCCGCTGGATTATTAATTGATAGTCCTTGCTGCAGGTTCCGTATATAGAAAAATTATGAAAATATAAATAAACGGGTGTCAGACAAGTTGCCAGCTAATAGTCAAAAATAACAATTCAAATAAGGACTGATCATATCGCAAATTTAAGTATTAAATTTCATCAAGGTGAATAAACTTGTACTCATTTACGAGCTTCCCTTGATAATTTAGTGCAACTTGTAAATTTTTATGTGTATTTAATCTTAGTTTGGAGTATCAAATCTTATTAATGGTCTAAGGTTGATGTTTTTTGACTAACTAATATTTTAATGAAACTCTATTTTCGAAATACTACTAGTGCAGTATTATACTAGTGCAGTGTGAAGTTAGGCTGGCAGTGTGACTTTCTGAGCTTTTTCCCGTTTCTTGCCAGGCCCAACATCATCACTTAGACAAGTAGGCATGTTCCCCCGATGCCGAAGTTAAGTTAATATTTGATTAATACTAACTTAACTATTATCTCAAATTAAATTACATTATCTGTGTACCATATTAACCCAAATTCAAAGTTCACACCCCATGAACCAGAGGCTTGATCCCCGCGAGCATCGAAATGGGGTTCCTTCTTTGTCACTGAACCAACAACTCTTTCTCAATATAAATGGGCAATTGCAAAATTTACGGGAATTTCAATAACCCCACTCGATATCCTAAATCAGCCCCTGCTCTGAACAACCTACCCAAAAAAACCAGGAGCAATTGAACTAACTTATGCAAGTATTACCACTGAACTCTTCTATGATACAGCATCACGACTAAGAGTACTGTAGTTGTTAAAGGGATAACAAAAATATATAGTATCCAATTATTTGCTTAAATCTAGTAGTACTAATAACTTTCAAGTTACAAAAAAATTGGACTAATTAAAGCAAAAAGGGGGAAAATTTGATCTCAAACTTGAACTTTCCAATGGATCAAGGTTTGTCTTCTGTACCTTTAAACATAGATTCAGGAGCAAGAGGAGTAGGAGTGTCCAACTGGTAAAGGTCAAATGCAGGACCAACAAATCGAAAAAGTATCCAACCCCCAATTATAATAAAAATAGAAGCATAAGCAAATTTGTTTAGCCAGAACAAAAGTCCTTTTTCTCCGACGTACAATTCAATTGCCTTCTCAGTCAGATTCATTGATTCCCAATCCTTAGGTGGTGGTTTAGGTTTAACAGCTTGTTTCCCTGCATTAATTATTTCTTCTTCCTTCTGCCTTTGTCGTTTTGACGGACGTCTTCTGATTCGAATCCCCACCGTGTTTGGTGGTGTAACGGGTTGCGATTCATTGCCATTATCACTGCTGCTGCTGCATTTGATGGGAAAACGAACTACATGGCGATATTGAGATTTGGAGAAAAGTTGTATTGGGAGGGGAGTGAAGTGTTTTGGGTAGCTAGAGAGCATGGTTGTGTTCATTTTTCATTAGCTTTCAAGAAATTTTAGTTAAAGCATCAAAGTGTGAGGCCAGTATTACCTTATCGTTTTATTTATCCCAACTAAGGAGAGATCCCATTCTCCTTTTCTTTTTTTCCCTTTAATCAGGTTGATGTGTGTCTATATTATTTCATAAGTTATTTGTATTTTCTTTTTAATAATAAGGGAAATTCATAGTTATTAACTGTTAGGTGCATATAAAGTAAAATTTCATTCCTATAAGTTATTTGTATTTTTTATCTGTATAAATATTGCGTAATTTTGCTCAACAATACATAAATTTTATTTGGGTATTAATTTCCAACTTTACACTAATCCTTTCACTACCTCCTTTTTATCAAAGTCTCGGGATTGCTTGACAATCAAGATGTTTGATCAAGCTTTTAGTAAACAAAACGTGTTTTTGAGATCAAATAACTTTCCTCAAAAGTATTTTTTTTGAAAATCACATTCGAGAAAATACACGTAGAAATATATTTTTAAAATATAGTCAAACATTAATTGTTGCTCATTAGTATTTTTCAAATTGATTATTCAAATACAAATTATTTCTTATCAAAGTTTTTTTCTTGAAAAATATCTTTCAATGTTTCATCAAGTCGCTTTTGTCAAATTTCATTGACACAGTTATTTATGGACCTTCTTTTTTTTTTTTTTTTTTTTTTTATCATAGTTATTTTTAAGGGAAAATTGTGCATTATAGCAAATTATTAATTCAAAATAAATGGTATAGCTACAGTTTCATTTAATTCTAATTCGTAGCAAACACATTGTCATTCGCCTCTCTTCTGAAATCTCGCTCGCCACTCTCTGGCTCGACTCTCTCACTTTATACAAACACAAATATATAAATTGTGTTTGTGTTTATGTTTGTATCAAACGAGAGAGAACTGTAATTACATGTACAAATACAAATACAAATACATATCTTTCGGTCATATATACTTATAATTATACAAATACAAATCTTTCTTTGCCAATTCTCTTTTGCCTTTCTCTCTTTCTCGCTTTATACAAACACAAATTATACAAATTACAATGTACAATTTGTGTTGCATAAAGCGAGAGAGAGATTTAATATACAAATGTTTTAATTCGATTCAATTGTATACAAATTCAAATTTTATGCAGATATACAAACACAATTATTAATACATATATAATCGCTGCACTTTTATACAAACGAGATGTCTACTTGCGATTTATACAAATAAGTTGCTCCATAGCAAACTATTGAGCGCAAACAGCAAAACGGTAGCTATAGATCGCTAATAAGATTTTTATGTTTGTTATTCCTAAAATTTGCTCTATTTTTAAAGTAATAAATCAATATTAAAGATAAACGGATATTAAGAAATGAAAATAGAAAATTTTAATTATAATTAGTTGAAATTAATTTTATATGTCGAATAGGAAAAATTGGTGCTGAAAGCTGACAAAAATAAAATATCAATCACATATGTCCTGGAGTATGAAAATTGAAAGGTCTTCTAAGTGGACAATATGTTGAAACTGACAAATAGAAAAATAAGATATTCAATTTGGGTAGAAATGTAGCAAATGTTAGTATTTGTTTCCAGATCTATAATTTACGTGTCCAAATGAATAAACCAATATGAGGCAAGTTTCCACTAAATAGTGAAAACAATAATTCAAGTTATAAGGACCAATCAAAATCATAAAATTTATAAACATGAATAAATAATGATTTTCAAAACCACAGCTTTCCCATTATTATAATGCAACTTGGGAGAATCTCTAATAAATTATGTGCTTGTAATCTATGTTGCTGTAGCAAATCTTGCTATTTTAATGCTATGTTTTTGGTATAGAAAAAAACACTTTTCAGAATTTTTATTTTTATTTTTCATGATCGGCTTAAATGTTTTATAAATAGATTTATATTTTTCTTAAATTTAACAAAAATAATTTAAGAAAAATGACTTTCTTTCATAAAGTAAGAAAAAACATTCTCCAAAATTCTCTTTCAATCTTACTGTATGAATCCCAACCCCACCCAAATTCAGTATCCTTGCTCAAACTCGAATCAGAATTCAGGTCAAAAGTCAGGTCTTAGGTAAAAAAATTGAGTCAAATTAGAGTCAAAGTCGTGAATTGAGATCGAGTTAGGGGTCGGGGTTAGGTCTTGTGTCGGGAGTTAGGGCTTCGAGTTGAAGTCAGGTACAATGTTATAATATTTGCCAGATTATATCTAATGCTCTTGAAAAAATATTTTCTTTCTTACAAGTCCTATAACATGAAAGCCTGCATTCCTTTTTAGTTAATGAACTTTTTTTTGGTAAAACAATCATCTACATAAAATTATTTTTAATATAACAAAAAACTAGTATGATTTTTTTTAAATTTGGCCTAACTCTTTTTTCTAGAATAGTGATGCGAAGCTAGGCTGGCAGTGTGACTTTCGAAGCTACTTCCCATTTCTTGTCATCATCATCACTAACACAAGTTGATTATGTAGAGGCAAGAAAATTATACTTTCGCAATTGTATAATCAAACAACTACTGAATGGTTATTTATAAACAATTTTTACCTAGTGAATTTTTTTAAAAAAACTAGGGAGTTATTCTTAACGTTTTCGAATTCAACCTATAATATCTTTTCAAACCATAATAAATCTGCTAAATGTCGGTTATAGTTACTAACAATTAGCAAGTACATAAAAAGATAAAATCAAAGAACTTACTGCCAGAAATAGGAAATAATAGTATCAACTAGACCGAACGGTGGTTGAAACAGAAGAATTTTGAGGCTTAAATTGATGGATAAGATCAGCGCATGTATTTTGACTGGGTTTTTTTTGTCTATCGAAGACAGTCAACGTGTCAGCCATTCTTCCCCCCATGAAAATTGTAATTACCTTCAAATGTTGTGATGGATGGCAAATATCTATTCAATTTTAACTAGTGATTTATTATTCGAACTTCAAGAATAAAACTAACTTTGTTAGACAACAATGATTTTGATATTTTCTTTCTTAAATGTGAATTCAGAATAGTTAGATGTCAAAGTGATATCTAAATAAAATACTAAGAAGTAGAAATAGTACTACTTATAGTATTAATTTAGGCCTTTGGCTTGACCCACTGACCCAAAGAAAACGTGGGTTGGATGGGGAGTGTCTTTGCTCGTGCTATAAATACCACCTCTCTCTGTTTTCTATTTCACTTCCATAGTGTAAGCCAGCTCAGAAGTCAGAGTTCTCAGCTTTCTTTCTTTTTTGTAACTAAAAGAATGGCATTCCTAAAGGCATTTGCAGCTTTGCTCATTGCATCACTTGTGCTTGTCCATTTCACTTATGCCCTTCAAGAGGTTCTTCTTTTTCTCAAATTAGCATGTTTATTTCTAATTAACATCTTGAAATAACGTTTGATTTTGAAATGTTGGCGCAGGTAATTAACAGCAAACCACCAGCACCAAGTCCTCAACCTCTAAAGCCAATAGGTACGTACTGTAACATTTTAAGTATTTTCACTATAACTTTCGTAACTGATTCTAAATTCTGAATTCGTCTTTGTTACAGATTGTACGGGATCTTGTAAAACGAGGTGCAGCAAATCGTCTCGGCAAAATCTATGCAACAGAGCATGTGGAAGTTGTTGCCGTACCTGCCACTGCGTGCCACCAGGGACTTCTGGAAATTACGAAGCATGCCCTTGCTATTTCAACCTTACTACTCATAACAGCACCCGCAAATGTCCTTAAAATTCATCGCATAATTTTCTTCTTCTGCAAATTCAAATGTACCTCTTATTAAATACTACTATTATTATGTTGTGTACTATGTCAGCTGTTGATTTTGAAATTTAAGTGTAAAATTGAAGGTTGAGAGTTTTTAATGCATTATTAATATGGGTATTATTAAATTGATTGATCTGTTAGACTCTAGTCGTCCCATTTACTGTGAACAGAATTAAGTGAGTCTAGACTAAATGTTGATTGAAATAGCTACATTTAATGTCTTTCTTCTTTTTGCGTAGAAAGCAAGAAACAAAATAGTCCTTTGAAAATTTTATTTGTACAAAACAAAGCTAGTAGTTCTAGATATACGATAGCACAATTTTAATTATTCCATGATCGAACGGGTTCTAAGTACTTACTTTTAAATAACATGATGTGAAATATTTTTTACGCATTATTATCTGCAGTACATAATAATTGAACTCAAAAGTGTACTGCCTTAGTCCCATCTGTATTTTGGACTCTCTTAATAATTTATTAATTAAATGTTTATTTTATTAAATTAATTATACTTTAGAGATTTAAATTAATTAAATACTAGTACTCAAATTAGTTTGAGAAATAGTTACTTCAGTGATATTGGAAAATATAATTGATTTTCTCTTAATTTTTAAAAATGAACAATAAATAAATAAATATATTTAGTATAATTGAGAAGTGAAAACAAGGAAACAAAGTGAGTAATGTACAAACAACCAAAAGCTTCACGGAAAAATAGTCCTCTATCTCAATTTATGTGTGATCTTTTTTTTTAGTCAGACTCCAAAAGGAATATCACAATTTTATAACTAAAAGTGATCTAATTTTAATTTTAAAATTCACTTTTTACTCTTAATAAATAATTTATAGTCAAAAAAAATATTTATAATGTGATGCTTAACCCCCGCCCGCAACTATGGGGGAAGTTACACTTTAACTTCCTGCCTTGAGCTAGGCCTCACATCGATTGTTCTGTCCACTGAACTCATCAATCAACCTTGACCTTGACTCTTACTAAGTACTCCAACTCTATCGATTAATGAAGACACTTTATCTAATGAAGCAGGAAGAAGACTAGAAAAGCAATTGAACAGACAAGGCTCTGTAAGAGAAGAGCTAATTGGAGTACGCCTTGAACGACGAATGAAGAGTATGAGAAGAGAGTTTCGAAGGTCAGATCGGATTGACTGATAAAACTTGTGTTTTAAATAAATTTTTGAAATTTATTTTTCTTTTATAAATTTTGAAATGATGTCACATGAATTAGACCGAGACGAGGGAGCGTTACTTGATCCTATAAAGATGACAGATAATAGCCTAATATAGTTTAAAAGACACGCTTTTCGTCAAGAATTTGGAATGAAGTAAAGTTGACGGGTCCTTGCTGTACAAAACACTCAAGCAAAGTACGTCACTTTTGGACATATATATTGTTAAATTGTGTAGCTTTAGTTCATAACTTAAGGACTCGTCACAAACATTAATTTGATTTGCATTTTTCACATTTTGAGAGAGCCTTAAAGTGTATTAATTTTTTATTTTACACTCCACATATTCATCTTTATTTGTACATTATACTAAAATTAGTTGTCTAGAAATATTTGTCAAATTTAAAATATTAAGAGATAATTTAGTTTTCGTGTCTATTTTACCCTTGATATTAAATACTATAGATATTTAATATCTAATTCATTTTCTAAAACATTATATTTAATATATTTAAAAATTCATATAGTAATATTATCTTTATTATTTATTATTTTTAAAATGTGTTGCAAATCAATATTGGACGGCTATTATTGACATCGTATTATTTGAATGTCTTTAGGAGACAATTATGAATGGATTTTAGTAAAAATAAATAATGTTGACAAGTCAAAGTGATTAGCTTGACTGTAATGTGAGTTAGGTGAGGGATAGTATCCAAGTTGTGCTCACTCCAATCAATGCATTCATCAAAACCTACTCACCCACAGCTGGCTGCCTGCCTGCCTGCTCCCTTTGTAATGCCGGTGCTTCTTTTATCCTCCTACATATAAAATTCTTTTATATGTATATATATAAAATTATTTTCAAATACTCTTTTTAATGTGATTATGAATTTGGGATGTAGGTAATTAGTGCACTCTTTTGATTAAATGTGTGCATGAAAAAGTTCTTTTGAAATTTTACAACATTTATGCAGCAGGTAATTAATATTGTTTACAATAAGGCGAAGTAAATTAATCCAAGGTTAAGTAAGTTAAGTAAGATCAATTTGAGTTTGATCTAGATTTCCCCATTTTTGTATCATAGATCAAGGATCTATTTTCATTTCTTGTCTATTCTTTTCTTTCCAATATTTTGATTATGATTATTTTTTAGTACTTTATTTTACGCGTCACAACAATTAGAAATTGAGAATCTATATCTTTAGATCAAAGAAGGGTCTAGATGTTGGAATAATGGAATCCAATGCTATTTGAGCCCTTGTTATTAGTAAAATTGGTGAATAAAGCGAAGGTACGAAAAGAGAGAGATTCGAACCATCGATAAACAAAAGCCTACATAGCAGTTTCAATGCTACACCTCGAACCACTCGCCCATCTCTCCTACATAATGATTATGACCCCAAAACCGAGTGAATAGTGAGTCAGTCATAATCCATATTTTAATTAATGTTATCTTGATTTTCTAAATTGACAAGTAATTTAAGATAACTATTTTTAATAATGTAGACAAATAATATAGGACAAAGGGAGTATATATAAGTAAATATATAATTCTTACCTTATTACTATTAGTACTCCCTATGTCTCTAATTACTTGTCCACTTTTGAATTGACACACCTATTAAGAAATCAATTAATGACATAGTGAGTTTATCATTTTACTCCTATTAATTATGAAGTGGATGAAAAGTTCTGCATTTTTCAAAGGTCATTTAATTGAGGGTATAATAAGTAAAAAATATTTGTCCTTTCTTGATTTGTCAAAATGAACAAATAATTAGGACAACTATAAAAGAAAAAGTGAACAAATAATTAGGGACAGAGAGAGGGAGTAATAAATATGATAGTACAAATCTTTTTAGTAATGTGGATAATGTAAAAAATGTATTGATATCCCACCAAAGTGAGGAGAGCTCTGATCCCACCAAAGCTACTGAAAATCAATTGAAACTGTGAAAGTGCGGTATATGTAGTAATTCATACTCCATGCATCAACTAACTGGAAATGTAATCGACAGTTGTAGGCTCCACTGCCCCATAAAGTTCCTCATTTTATCTCATAATTTATAAAATAAAGTCGGGTCAAGACTCAACGGGTTAGAGGGAGTTAAATAAAATAACAACCATGACTAATCCAAGATCCTTTTTTTTTTTGGAGGGTGGATGAATTGAAATAATAATCAATTTAAGGTAAGTATTTTACTTTCACCAAGAGCAGTGCAATTAGTTGGATATATAGTAGTATAACCAATGCATGCAGGATTATGAAAGGAGTAGTTTGGTTCAAAATAATGTTACTCCTCATGATTATAATCATGGGACTACCATTATAGGTTTGATATAAATTTTTGTCATGTTTTTAGTTTATACCCACAACCAAACACTAGACAAATTTAACCTTAGGTTCCTCTAACAAATGGCCCTTTAAGCCTTGAAGGAAAAATTCCATTAGTAGTGCCCATTTGCAACATGACTTTCCTTTCAAAACATAGCAAAACTCATAATGTTTGCGCACATACAATTTACAAAATCTAATCCTAACTGAAATCATGTGGATACAAATAATACAATATCAAATTTTACGTGCACACATTAGCCAACTATATATGAAATGTATATAAAGTGTAAGTCATATCATGTATGTATTGGAAACCATCACCTAAAATATATGGCGATAGATAACAATGATTTTCTAGAATTGAAACTTCAACAACAGCAAACGAGTGAGGTTGGGATGGACAGTGACAACTAAGGTTTTTAAATGTACAGATATGTATGCTATAAATTTCCACAATGTTTTATAATTACGCTACACCCTATAAATTTTATTTTTTTTCCTTAATAAAACAGGGGCTAATCAGTTGGGCAAATGAAAACTTTGATATTGGGCTGATCCCCCAAGGCTTAGTCCATATAGAGGTGGGCTTGAAACACACCAAAAAAGCCCAAGTCCATGTTTCAAATCCTAACGGCTAGTTTGTTAACGCGCTGCCTGCCTTACAAGAATGTTCTAACGGTCACTTTATGTTTTCCCATTGTGAAACCCTATTTCCACAACTATAAAGTCCTCTTCTCTCTGCCCAAATTCCATCTCATTGACAGTGAATTTCTCCTCTCTGCATTTCTTGATCTGAATTAGAATTTCGGTATACAAGTAACCCAAAAATCAAACTTCACTGCAATATTCTTGATTCTTCATCAATGGAGACTCCATCATCAACAAGAAGGGTGACAAGATCACAAGCCTTGGCTGTGGCTAACAGTGCTAACAAGATCCCTCTGTCAACTAGTAAGTTTTTATTGCCCTGTTTTCATTTTTCCTTTCTTGAAATTTAATTTGATTTCTGAGAAGTAATTTCTTTTCTTGTTCAGAGAAAATTGAAGAATCTGAGAAGAAAACAGTGGCGAAATCAAGAAACAGAACTGGGAAACAATCAGCATTGATTGATATAACGAATGATTCCCCCATTGTTGGTCTTGCTATGGGGAATTTGGGGACCCCTTCTTCAGAGATATCTAAGAAAAGGACTACAGGTCTAGCCAAATACTTGAGTACACCTGGATCTGGCGAGGATTTATTGAGGGGACAAGTTAAGACTTTGTTGCAAAAGGTTGAAGAAGAAGCTGTGCTCTCGAAGATTTCGCTGGAAAATAGGCCTTTCCTTCATCTCCAAGGAATTATCAACTCTCCCATGGGTCTTCTTGCCCCAACTCCTGCAAATACACCTCTTATGGATTTCTCTGTCAATGAATTGCCTGCTGTTACTGCATCCCCTGTTGAAGACAAGTTTGTCATTTCTCAGGTACGAATTCAATTACCTGTATCAATTAGTCTCAAGAAAGATTCCTTTTTTATTTCTTGTTTGATTTTACAAATCCAAGATTTGAATTAATTGATTGTATGTTACAGATGATCAATGATATGTTTGAAGGGGAAAAACAGGGGAATCTTGAATCTGAGAAAAGTTACTTAA